AAGGCAAAGTCTTTGCTCCCAGGAGCTTCCCATCAACATTAGTCAGATAACATGAGAAATAGCAATGGGCCCAAGAGGATGAGCATGAATGGAAGAGAGGAGTGCACAGAAATGAGAGGTGAGAAAAAGTTGTATGTCGAGGAAACTCAGATAATTTATTTTGATCCTGAATCACATTTTCCCTCTCTTTTTCAGTGATGATGCAATTTAGAGATTTACTGATTGTGGATAAATGATCAGCTGAAAGAAGTGGGTTTTGACAACTGATTTGCAAGAGTGAAAGATGTTGTTTGCCACATAGAGAGTGCATCTACATGAGACGCTTAGTGCAGAGTTGCTTAATTTGCTCTGCAGCAAAGCATCACCATCTACACCATCTACTCCGACTTAATAGAACGGAGTATTAAGTTGGAGTAAATGAATTAACTATGTTATAGGATAGTCATGCCCGACACAAGTACTGTTCTACAGTGGAGTTATTTACTCTGCTGCAATTCACATGTAGACAGTGACCAGGGCTGGCTAGCGCACAGTACTACTGCCAGCTAGCCGTGCACTGTAGCACCCTCGTGCCCCAGCCAGTCCCTCTGCAGCACATTGAGCCAGGCAGGAGCAGCTCTGGGCTGGAGGTTGATCCCCTGGGACACCTGCCAGCCAGAGCTGTGCTGCCCTGGCTCATTGTGCTGTGGTCCTGACCACACATGTAATCATTTTGCCCAGGAGCAAGAAACTCCAGCACAAAGTGGAGTGGTTCTAAGTCAGTGGTTCTCAGTCTTGTTAGACTCAAGGCCCACTTGATAGACTTGAGGCACCCCTTGGAAAATACCAGCCCTTAGTTTTCACTCATTTTTTGACTACAGAAAAATAATAGAGCAATTCTTCTACTGCCAAGAACTCAGGCCACAATATGTCAGAATATTTTTGAGACTATGGATTCCTATTTTAAATCTCTGGGCTTATTTTATAAATCAGGCTTGCATGCATAACAGTGCCAACATTGCCTGGCATTCTTGAAAGAATCCCACTGATCTAGGTAGGACCACAGGGTCTATACTGCAATCGGAGTACCTGAACTTTCCATCATGCCCTTCTTTTGGGGTTTTCTGATATTTTAGGAGCCAGAAGGCAAACAAGTCAGGAAATCCTTAATGCATATTGTTAAACTGCATCTTTTTGTCTGCACAAAAATTAGAGGGGCCAAAACTGGAACCAGTTCTTTAAACTCCTGAGCACTGGGAAGTTAGAGAATAGGACCTTGAAGTTCTCCACCTGTTCTTTCATTTTTTTCTTTTAACCCCTAGTTGATCTTGGAAAGATAAATCATTTTCTTGCAATGTTTTACACAAAACATTTCTATTCCCCTACTACTAATACATAGGACCACATTAGGAAACAATGTATTTGTTTCACAACATAATGTTTCAGTCCAGACTGAAATCCTCTGTAGTTTTGTATGATGGGTGGGGAGGCAACATGCATAATCAAGCCTTTTTTTAGGCTGAAGTCTTTTATATGTTTGACCTGGATGAACTGTCAGAGTTGTACTAAAAGGAGGACACTGCTGAGGATAACTCAGTGCTGGATAAGATCTTTCCTTCTTTTCATTCCTTAAATGGTCTGGCTGCCATTTCCATCAGGATTTTTCCAACTTCCCTAAATCGTTAATTTTATTTCCAATTCCTCTTTCCGTCATTTGAATCAATTCTGTGACTAATGCTCTTTGCTCTATGTTCCCCAGGAAAGGCAAGGGGAATAAATGTTTAAACTAATAATAAGTTAGTAAAAGCCTCTGACAAAATGATGCCAAAAGGAGCTTTTTTAATGTTGTTGTGTTAGATATTTTATATACTGGAGCATACAGTAAGCTCTGCTTGGCCCACTGAAGCTAGTATTAACCTCAGACTTCAGAAGAACTCACATCAATAAAAGATGGTTCCATTAGCTCTTGCAACATACTTCAGCACTAGCCATGTCTTTGTTCCTCTAGTGCTTGATTTCCACAAGAGATTCATGTGTCTGATACAGCTGCCAGTCAGGGAGATTAGTTTGCCAGACACATAATAGAAGCTTGTGTTTTTATTTTGAGATGCCCCAGGTTTGGGCTCTGATACTGATCTGCAATGAAGCTTGTAGTTAGATATGTTAGGTTGGGTGTCTGTCGAGGCTGCAGTGACAGAAGGGTTCCCTAGTGCTGGTAAGTGTATTTGGAACCTGAGATATGGGAAAGGCACTCAGATTGATTCCAAACTTTTAATGGGTTGAGCAGATCCTATTCCACCCTGCTCAACTCCTTGACAAACCACTTTTGTAGAAGGCCTCCCTCTTAGCCTTAAGACTAAGTCTCAACAAATGAATGGGAAGGAGGACCCCACCCACCTTTTGTGCTAATGGCTTTCAAGGAATTTGAGAAGCAGAGAAGAGGATTGCATTTAGCTACTTAGCCATCTTGTGCAGGCAGCTAAGAGATGAAATAAGATCTGACCTTTTGTAATTTATTTATAACGTTTCAGCACTAGTGATCTAGACTTGATGGGCGCATCTACACATGAATTAATGTGCTTTAATTAATGCATGTTAAATCTAGTACCTCCACTGTGAGGTACTAGGAAACTGTATTAGCCTGTCTTAATGCACATTAACTAAAGAGCACAGGGCAATTTTACACATGCTCTGGGAATGGGTTAGGCGATACTTTAATTAGAATGGCTCTGAGAGCTGTTCTAATTAAAGTGCCACATCATCTCATGTATCAGTGTCCCCACGCTTAAAAATGGCAGTGGGGGCTCTTGAACAAAAGCTCATTGAAAGACTGTGGTAATTACTTGATTAATCAAGTCTACTTTGATGTGCTGTAATTACAGTGCATTGGAGCAGCCTCCATGCTCATGTGCAGGCACCATAGTTTTTAAGTGACGCTTAATGTGCATTAGCCTATTTCAATGAGCACTAAGTAGCACTTTTTTAGTGACACTTTAATGTGCATTAAAATAGGCTAATGTGCATTAAAGCGCAAGTGCAGACACACCAGCTGTGAGCTGATGTCCTGAAGGTGATTGGCTCCCTATTCTGGCACCTGTAGCATAAACCATCTAATGCCTCATTTTTAATTTTTTTTACTGACTCTTAAGTGAAAATTCAATTCTCATAAAAATTAAGCGTTTCAACTTTAGCAAAAGTTAAATAAGAAGAAGTCATGTAGACTGCAGTGAACCATTTCTCTCTGCCTGTGTGAGGAATAGCACATTCTTCTCTTCTGCTTCCATTATCATAAAAAAAAAATGTTTTGCCTTCATTGTGATCATTGTGGCAGTTCTGTACCTAACACTTCTGGCTTCAGTGAAAGAAGACTGGCTTCTTAATTGGCTTCTTCATGGCACACTGGAATATCTGTACAGTTAATAGGGAAATCAGCTCTGCCAGTTTTAGTCATGCTGAGTAATAAGTTCCCCTGTAATTAGCCCTACAGATTATATTGAGAGTAAAGTAGATTTCAACACAAATAAGGGTGGCAGAATTAGCCCTATTCCTTTTCTGACTATAATGTAGGCTCAATAATTAGAATTCTAATCTTTCACTGTTACCAATTGTCTGTGGCAGAATCACATATGCTGTCTAATTATATAGTATATGCCATTATGACTGCCAATCAAACAGAACATCTGCAACAGATTATAATTATGAAATTTTATTTTACTTTGAAGTGACAATTTAACCCAAACTACACATACAAAAATAAGAAAGACTGGAGGAAGGAGGGAGATAACATATTTCAGTGATAACTAGTATTTACTGTGTCTATGGGATTCTGATCAGTCTAATGTAGTGTCAGTTCCACCATAAATGTTATGCCCATAACAGAATTTGAAATGGCAAGTGTTAGTTTATTTTAAGGAGACCATTTCCCCTCTGCCATGCCACATTAATTTCTTGCAGCTGCTGTTATCTGGTGTGCTGCAGAGAATACCTACCAGGTTTGAGACCCTGCTTGACAGCATATATAGGCTGGCCCAAAACACTGCAAATTGAGATAGTCCAAGGTGAAGGGTGGTAGGTGCCCAAAACACCTGTTGAATTAAACAAAGGCTTCTTGAAGTCAGTGGACTATCACACTAAGAGAGGAAGGACGCTTGCTGCACAGGAAATAGAAAACTGATTAAAGTTTGTGGGAGGCAAGGAACAGCACAAAGGGAGGAAGGAAGAATCAAAAGAAAGAGGCACAGGACATTGGGCTTAAGTAGACCAATAAAAATTGAAAAAAATGTGAAAAATGTGCCATGTGAAAAAAAAAAATCCAGAAGGTTGCTATAACAGTACTACATATGTTGCATCTGTGACCTATACCAAATTTGAGATAAAGCATCTCTTTAATTCCAAAGGTCAAATAGTCTTCCATACATGAAATAAGGCACTTAGTAAAAAAGGGATGAATTGGGTGCAGTTAAACTTCCAAACAGTTGCAGATTCGGATACTTTGGTTAGCAAACTGGGACAATTCCAGCTGAAAGATCACCTTAAGCCCTTTCTATTTTCCATTGAAGTCACCCTCTCCAGTTGGTTACCCTTTTGGAAGAGGAAACACTTCCCTCCAAATGCTGTCTGGATATCATTTCTTTCCCCAGCTAAACCATCCTATCTCCTTCTGGTCTAGAACTTGCTATGGTATGTAATTGAAGTTTCTTACCATCGGCGTGAGGTTCTGGAGTAGCCTTCCAATAGAAGTAGTTTTAGACAGAGCTTGATATATTTATAAGAAAAAGGTTTAACACACATGATTGCCTATGATATCACTGGGCAGAGTGTGGTGACCCAGGAATTCCCTTCCAGTCTTTATCCTGGGCATTTACTCTCTATGTGAATGACCATTTGTTTTGAAGGCTGCAAACCACTGACGAATGGATGTATATATGTATATAAGCATGTACATAATAATGTATATAAGAAGCTTTGCAGTTTTCTGCTAGTAGATCTGTATTTTTCTCTCTTCATTTTTTGTTTTAAAGCAACCACATAACATTCTGCAAAGACGCTTAATGGAGACAAACTTATCCAAATTACGAAACTACCATGGCACATGGACTCCCAAGAATGACATTTCAGCACAGACCAATAAGCTGAATCAAGCCAAACCAGACACCCCAAAGAAAACAGAGGAAGAAGAACTTATATTGGTGAGCTGCCAGGTAATGCTTCCTTGTCTTTTCCTAAAGCCAATCCACTCTTGTAGCGAAGGCATAAAAGAAACCTGATGTTTCTTTCACAGGATATTATTTTTGACAAGTTTCTGCTTTCCTTCAGACAAGGAAAAGGTCAATTTTAATGGCCCTATAAAAATGCAGTGTTGCTTGCCAGCTACTCCCTTAATGCAATGAATATAATAGAAATATAAAGACTACAGTAGTTTAAAATCCACAGCTGTTCTGAATGATGACCCAAATCTAAGTCTTTGTGGGCTTTGGAGTTCCAGTGTGTGCCCAGCTTATTCTTTTTTCCCCCATTGTCATGTTTTCTTCCCTTTGGCTACTGCATTTAGAGCAGCAGTGGGCAACCTACTGCCTGTGGTCTGGATCTGTACTACAGAGACATTGCAGATCTGGGTTGTGGTATTTAGGCTTCACCTGCATCACACCATGCCATGGCGGGCACTTCAACCATGCTGCCACAGCTGGGCAGTAGGGAGAAGCAGCAGTGGCAGCTGGGCTGTAGCACTGGCCTGCCTTCAGCCCAAAATGGATCTTTTTAGCCTGTCACTGGACAACTTTGCTGACCTGTCACTTAGAGGCAACTCTCCCTTTCTAGGCAGGAACAAGCGTATCTTGGTGGAAATGTCAGTGAAAACAGAAAGAGAACACTGGCCCTTCAGTAGCAAAGTAGCCGTTGTGCAAAGCAACTGTAGGAGGGCTATTAACATGGTACCCTAGCAAAGATGCTTCTAATACAGCATTTCTTTCTTATGTTTTGTTGCTCCTTTTCATACTCTGCTTTCTTTTTGCAGTGTGCTGGAAAGGACTTGCAAGCTGTGGTTGACACCGGTTGTCAACATAATCTCATATCATCTGCTTGTTTGGATAGACTCGGGTAAATAATATCTGCTGCATTTGGATGGACATTTTTCTTTTCTTTTTTTTCCCCCCTCAAATGAATGGTTGGACGGAGTGTGTGCGCACGTGATGGGAAACAGCTGAACATATTTCACTGAGTTCCCTTGAGAGCTTTAGAGCAGAACCCATGGTCATGTAGGGAACAGCGACGTCACTAAGTGCAGTCATTCTCTCAAGAGGTCTGAGGCTTCAGCAAAAATAATTCTGAAAAAGAAAGTTATTTTAGGACACACTCAGGCCAACCTCATATTGAAATCTATTAAACAAGAACATTACTTTTTTTAATAGGCTTATCAGAAACAGAAGTAAAAAGGAGTCACCCTACACAGAACTTAACATCCAAATAAGCCCCCAATGGACTCATTCATATTTTTTTTACTGTAGATGTTTGTCTTTGTTTTCATTTGTTTGCAATTACATTTAAATGAAATCTCTCTTCATTTGTACGTTCTCAGTGGTGAAGGGAGCTTTGACACCCTATGGGGCCATGCTGTATAAAAGAAGTTAAAAATAATCTCCAATTAAGGACTCAACCCTCCAAATATCACTGCAGAGTATGCAAAGTGCTGACTATGTGAGCAATCCTCCTGACAGCAAAGGTAGATTACCCCAGCAGGAGGTAGTTGGAGTAGTAGGTACAGGCCAGTCCTGAGTATTTGTAGGCTTGTACTCTAATATGGTGATTAAGGGCCTGCTGTTACTCCCATTGACATCAATAACACATTTCTCCCCCTTAAGGAGAAATGAAGTGTATTTACATAAATGTTTGAGAACTGATTTAACCAGCGTGTATGGCAAAGCTCCCCCTGACTTCAGTGGAGCAGGAGAGTGGTTCATAATACTGCAAATGTCTGTTTGCAGTTTTTCTCTAGAAATATCAGTTTCAGCACCAGCTTTACAATGATTATGCAAACAATTACAGTTGCACCCCAAGTCCCATTACATGCCAACTGGGCCCTGTTGTGCTAGACTCTGTGGCACATGATGAACAATAATCCCTGCCTGAACCACTGACAGGATAGAGAGTAGATAAAACTGTTAGACTATTATCATCTCCATTTTACAGGTGGGAAACTGAGGCACAGAGGAGTTGAAGGATGGGGCTGTGGTTATCTGGGGAGTTGGTGGAAGAGCTGGGAATTGGGCCTGAATTTGAGCTCCACACTAGGGCCTGAACCAAAGGCTATTTCTTCTTTTTGTCAGCGTCTGGAGCCCATTTCAGTGCTGTTTTCCGAGACAAAAAAAAAGGTCAGGCTGTCATCCCAGGAGACCAACAGTGTGGTTTTTGGTTAAATTAAATCAGCCATTTGAACCCTTTTCTTTTGGCCTTCCTGGAAGCTCCTGGGTTGCAACAAAGAGCAGCTATGCCTTTCACTCCAGAACAACATACCTGGTACATGAATCAACGTGGAAGACTCACTAGTTTTTAAATACAGGCTTTGAATTCCATTGCAGCCATTGACATTGGATGGGAAGGAGGCCTAATAAGAGAAGTTTGCCACTTTTTTGTTGGCACAGGCAGGTCCTTACAGTACATTGTCTAGCATTACTGGGTCCCCACTGGAGGTATGGATCTCCTCCTTCTGCCAGGTAACTCCTTCACTGCTCCTGAGACTTCACCATTAGGATGTTGTTGGTGTACAGACTGACTTCTTTTTCTTTTTGTCATTCTTGCACACCTAGACTGTGTGCCAGTCTTATGTTTTTGGGAGGATAGCGATTAGAAGCCTGAGCTCAGTGCAGACAAACTCTGCAGGCATAGGGGTGATGGATCTTAGTGAGATGGCGCTGCAGAGAGAATGATAAGGGTGATGCATCATCACTGTTTAAGCAGCTCTTATTACTGCGTAACTGTTGGGACAGTTTCCATTTTTCTTGCTTGGCTTGAAGGTGACATTCCACTTGATTACACATTGCTGAATCCAGCTCTTCAAGCAGCTGTCACCTGACATCCATCTTGTTCCTGGCTGCCTGGCATGCTCCATTCACATCTTTGCTTTTCTTGATGGAGTTCAGTTTTGACTTGTAAAAAAAAAAAAAAAGCAATTCACAGCAGGCCAAAGTCCCCATGCTCTCCTCTCTCCTCCTCTGTCCTACATGAAAAGGACCATGTTCTGCCCTGGGAACCCTGTTGAAGTTAAGGGGAGGAAAAGGTAATCCAGATCTTCCAGGACCTGGTGCTAAAACAGGGATAAATTTGACACACTAGACCAGACCTTGGCTCCTCCTCTGCTCCTCATATGCTCTTCTAGGGAACATAAACCCATTGCATCTCTCCTGTAGATATAGACCCATCATAACTACAGCCTTCCCCTTTTGTAAACCCCAAAGTAAAGGGCATTTCAGGGGCAGGAAGGAGAATATAGGGAGTGTGGCTAACCAGGGCTGCATTCCTCTTACTCTCTGCTGGTAGCTAGGTTCTGGAGTGTTATTTACAGCGACACAGTTTAAAGTAGACTCAGTGGGCACACCTACACAAGACGTTTACTGCAGTTACCTAATTAGCTCCTCAGTAAATGTCTTGGTGTCTACATGTGTGACCCTATTAGGCTGCAAAAAACTAATAAACTCCACCGCAGGTTAGCTGTAAATACAAGTACCATCCTGCTATGGAATTTGAGTGCAGCAACACAAGTATAGACACTGACGCAGCTGGGTGGGACTCAAGGGTGCTTTAGTGAGGGGCTGCCTGCCAGCTAGCCCCACACAGAAGCACCTTTGTGCCCCAGCCAGCCCCTCTGCAGCATGCTGAGCTGGGCCAGAGCAGCCCCAGACTGGCAGGCTGATTCCCTGGGTCTCCTCCCAGCCACGGCTGCTCCAACCTAGCTCAACGTGCTGTGGTCCCAGCCACACACATAAATGTGGCATATTCAGCAATATACAATTAAGTTTATTCCTTTGTATTAATATGCAAGTGTAAATGAGCTTAGATGGTGCATCTAGTACACATGCAGTTAATGTGAAGCAATAAACTCCGCAGCAGTTTGAGCCACAGTAAATTGCTCCCAGGAGCAGCATCTACACGTGTGCCTGGGACAGCAACAATTTGAGCCTGGGTGGAGCAAGCCCAGGCTAGCAGCGGGCCTGGCGGGGTCAGCCCACTGAGTCTACTGAATTCCTCTAAGTCAAGAATTTTTGTGGTTGATATCTTTTATTGAACCAACTTCATGATTGGGATAGACTTAGATGAGCTTTGGGATATCAGTGTACCCTTCTCCAGGTTTCACAGCTACAACATCACTCCCACGCTACAGTGCTGACCAGGTGGTGATGAATCATTTGGTCCTAATTCAGCCAGGCAAGGAGAACACTGAAGAAGCATGGAGTTTCCCAACTCCTAGAAAAAAGAACTCTGCATCCACAGCCAAGATCATAGGGTAACTCTCAATGCATCAGTTTGCCTCAGATTTGACAAAAACTTTCTGTCTAGATTTTTACACTACACTTTTTAGTTAGTACCTGAATGCCTATACCTCACACAAAGCATCCCAGGGGTGAACAAGTTGATGAAATGCCAATTAACACATAAGATTATACTTAATGATGGAACCTGGACAGTACTCTTCTTTGAAGGTAATTCCTTCACTGCTGAATGTGCTACATTCTCTACTATTTCCTGCTGCAGCCAGGCAGAACATGTTTTCCATCAAGTGAGTATTAATGGGAAAAAGTGTGTGTGTTATATTTTTATATATTTCTCTGGAGTGGTTTTCAATTTAGATTGTGAGGTCATTATGCTATGGTGCTCAGCCATGCTCATTTGTTAGCAATAATGCTGGAACTCATTTGCTTCCTCTAAATAATGAAAGTAATTAATCAAAATGTTAGAAAGCAATGAAATCAGCTGAAGAGGTCTTGACCTTCCTTTCAGGTTAACTACTGTAATGGGAAGCTAAAGGAGAAGAGATTCCATTTTCCTATCTTGAATGTAAACAAGAACAAGTGGAAAGACCAATAAAAATAATGAAAGTCAGCAGCATTTAAAAATTAAAACTCGTTGGTTCCATAGCTGAGCTGGACAGCATTTTGAAGGGCCAGGAAAATGGCTAATAAATCTAGTTTCCAAGTGCTTACTCCCAGTTGTTTCTTCACAGGAATATTACTCTTACAGTCTGTAGAAAAGAATGGTAAAAGATAAGCTTTTCTCCAAGGAGAAATTATTGGTGTCCTTTAATTCCAGTTTACATTAAAACATGAATAAATTAGATTTAAATCATCTATAAACATTACCAGAATAGACTATGTAACATAGTCAGATAGGAGAAAGCACTGTGTGGCAGATACATACTTTACAACCTTTTTTTTTTCTCCAGGTGGTAGTTTATTTATATATCCCCACTTTCTGTGGTACTAACTGCAAATAAACATGCTTTGCTACTTGTAAGGTATCCAGGAGAAGTTAGGAGCCAAATGCAATCTGTAATGGTAGAGTTCAATTGATGGAATTCAGAGTGGAGTAGTAGCATGTACTTGCACTGGAACTAGATTTAGGTCATTTTTCCTAAATAACAGCCTCAGCAGAGCAGATATTTCTGTCCTGAGGAAACAGAAAGAACTCCAAGAAACAGTTTCCAACAGAAAAAACAGCTTGGGGAGTACAGCCCAACATAATTGCTTCACATAGGGCTTGATCCTACTCCACTGAAGCCATTGGGACTTTTGTCATTAAATTAAATAGCATTTGGGTATTGGACATATACAAGATCATCATAGATAGGCTGATAAGAAAGCACTTCAGATAATATTAACTTAATAGAAGTGAACTAAAAATTCTTAGACTCTGGAGTAGTTAATGTATTTGTATCCCACATGAATAAACCTCCATTGAATGTGAGAATTGTTTTCAATGTGTAGGTTGAAGCAGCATATCAAAATGTACAATAATGAAGATGAGAAAATTTTGCTGCCATGGAACGTAAGGGTGATTGGTCAGGTTGAACATTTAACGGTTACAATGGGAACCATCCATGTGGACTGTTTTGCAGTTGTCATAGGTAAGTTGTTTAGTATTTCATGTCCAACATATCTAATGTAAGTCAGTCTAGTGAAGTGTGGTAACAGGTAGACAGTTTGTTAAATCATCAACAAATCTGAAAGGTTTGAGCATTTTAAACACAGAGGCCTTTAATATAAGAGTGGGGAAATTCATTTTTCCTACTATTGTTTCAAAGCGAATGTATTGCTAGGTCAGCAGTTCAACTCACCACTTTATCGGGTACAGCCAAGGCACCAACATGTCAGATTTGATGCGCTGTCCCACCTATGATACTGCCTCACTCCTGATCTTGAGCAGTTCACAAAAATATAGGGTTCAGTAGAATCCTAGCCTGGCTCCAGATGTGCAGGCACGTGTGGTTTGTGGCGCTGCAAAACTCTTTGCAGTGCCACAAACCACACAAGTTGCACATTAATCAGTTTGCAGCGCTGCTAATTTGGATTAGCAGTGCTGCACTAGGATTTTCCCGTAGCAAAAAAAAATCCTGGAAAAAAAGAAGTGCAACCATGCCAATGTGGCAAGTGCTGGGACGAATGCCGGGACGGGGGAGTAGACTGCCCAGGGCTGGAGCCCCCGTGTTGAGGCACCTTGTGGCTGGCTGGGGCTCAGGGTGCCTCGAGAGGGGAGCAGGCAGCCCTGTCTCATGTAGCCATGCCCAGTATTTACTTTCCAGGTGTATCATTATTTTAGAGCATAAAATTTACCATGTCTCCACTAACTTAAACCATCTTATATTTGTCTCAACAGATAGGAAACCAACCCCGCTCCTCCTCCTTCCCCCTGCAGCACGTGGGGCAGCAGGCCAATGGGTCCTGCTGCAAAGTACACGGGCAGGGGCATGCACTGCAGCACAAAGTAGCAGCACAGATTTGTGCCACTGCTATGTGAGGGCACACCCCTGCTCATCTGGACCTGGTCTTTGAGTCTCAGGGAGCTCATAGGTCATCTAGTCTGGTCCCCTGCACAAATGTAGGATTTGCTATACCTAAATTAATCCAGACAGATGCCTGTCCAGCCTTTCCATGAAAACCAGCAATGAAGGTGATTTCACAGCTTCTCGAGGAAGAGCATTTCCTTGTCTCACTGCTATTTCTACTCTTGCAATTAAAAGGTTTTTCCTCAAGTTTAATCTACATCTGCTCAGCAGCCGTTTAAAACAGTGGTCATGTCAGATTTCCATGGCATGTTCTATCCTTGGCTGTTCTGTCCAGTCTGCCAAGAAATACGTTGGGTTTTTTTGTGAGGGGGAGCGGAGGGAGGCAATGTGGGAATCTGTTCATCTGGTCTAAACTCAATTAACCCATTTTACACCAGATGACAGACTCTGGTCTCCTGAAGGTCTGAATGATGACCCGGCAGTGAAATCTATGCAGTCTATTACCAATCCATCTAGAATCATTCAGTCCCTCTAGAGACTGATCTGTACTTAGTTGAACACAATCCAATATCTGGCTGAGTTATTTGCTAACAACACAGTAGTCCACTATGAATTTTGAATCCAAATATTTTTTTTTTACAGAAGACAATGAGAAAACCTTCTCCCTTGGGCTGCAGACTTTGAAATCTCTGAAGGTAGGAGTTTTCTGTATGAGCTGTCTTATCCTATTGCTGTTGTTGAAGGAGATGATCACAGCAGTTTTTATTATTCTTTCAGTGTGTCATAAATATGGAAAAGCATCATCTTGTACTGGGGAAGGCAGACAGGGAAGAAATCCCATTTGTTGATAATAATATCTCTGCAAATGGAGGAAAGTAAGTGTGTTGTTCTCAAATTGGTCTGAAATTGTGTGTGCGCTCATAGGCAGACCTTGCTAAAACAGTGATCAAACAGAAAGTCATAGAATCCCTGGGCCTGAACCACAGCTCTTGGATAATAGAAGAAAATATTTTCACTGACATCAGGGAGCTTTGCAACAGGACTCCTGGATTGCTTTTTGGCAGATGCTGGCCATGTTTTTTCCTAGCAACCATCAAATGGTAGAAGGGACATTTTCAAAGAAAGGGGGAGAGTTTTGACCCACTTGATCCTTTTGGAGATGAACGGAGCAGCAGTCTGGCTGACTCCTCCCACCCTGCTGCAAGAGTGCACCATAGCGCAGCAGTATTATGGGATACCCTTCAAAAGATTGGGGTTACCCCTTTTTCTTGTACCGACAGTACTGTTGCCCCTCTGACAACCATAGCTGATGTCTGGGTCCTGACATTTTAAAGAGAGATCAGTAATAGGGATTCTAGGTATGTTCTAACTGTAACTTGTTTTATGTATGTATAGATTAACTCATAAGACTACTGTCTCTGGTATGCTTGAGAGCAGCCTTTAGGGATACCTCCAGAGTGGCCTCTGTGCTGCATGTCTGGGTTTGGCACATGCAAGCTGAAACAGGTGGGCAGGACAGGTCTACTGGCATTCACCAGGGCCATGGTGTAGACCAGGGGTGGGGAAAATATGGCCTGCAGGCTGGATTTGGCCCACAAGGCCATTCTATCCAGCCCGCGGGGCCCCTAAAAAATTTAGAAAATTAATATTTCTCTGCCCTTGGTTCCTGTCAAAAATGACAGGAACCAAGGGCAGTAGGACCCAGGGGAAGCCCCAGCAGGCTCCTACAACAGCAGGGCCTGCCTGGCCCCGCCCCCCACAGCTGAAAGCCCCAGCGGGGGCTTCTGGCCTGGGACCACATGGCTGCCCTGTGCCAGAACCGCAGGTAAGGGGGAAGAGGGGCGGGGAAGGGCAGGGAAGGGGCCTAGGGAAAAGTGGCCTGGGGAAAAGCTGAGTATGGGGGGGGAAGTGGGGGGAAGCGGCCCCTCCCCCACCCCATGGCTGGCGCTCCGTGCTGCAGCCACTTACAGCCCGCCTGGGGTTGCCTGTGCCTGCTCCGGACAGCCCCGCACAGGCTGTGAGTGTATACAGTGCAGGGCATTGAGCACGGGGTGGGCAAGGGGCCACTTTTCCCCTGCTGCGTTCAGCACCACCTTGTAACCCAGCCCCAATGCCAGCCTGGGCCCTGCACAGCTCTGGGCTCGCCTGTTGGGGCTGCCTGTGGTGACAGCAGCTGTGGTCCCCCTCCTGCCGCACCGTGCAGTGTTTGCCACCACCACCTGTGGACTGCCCAGCGTGCACTCCAGGCAGGCAGCAGCAGCCAACACTGCCTAGTGCAGCCCACGGGGGGGCCTCAGTGGCTGCTGCTGCACACAGCCCAATGGGTGAGCTTGGAGCCGGCGCAGAGCCCAGGCTGGCAGCAGGGGCAGGTTGCAAGCTGGTACTGAGCGTGGGGAAAAGTGGCCCCTCCCTCACTCACCCCATGGCCGGCATCCCGCACTGTAGCTGCTTGCTGTCCACGTGGGGCTGCCTGCTCCAGACAGCCCCGCGTGGGCTGCAAGCAACTGCAGCAGGGAGCGCCGGCCATGGGGTGTCCAAGGGGCCGCTTTTCCCCACGCTCAGCACCAGCTTCTTCCCTGCCGATGAGCCGGGGGTCAGGACTGTGTGCTGTTTCCCGCCTGTACCGCAGGGCTAGGGAGCACTTGGAGTGAGGGGGCAGGGAGCCAGCGGGAGAACGGGGCCCACACCGGTGTCCCAGGGCCAGTGCCGGCTGGGCCCCGAGCCGGGGGGCAGGGGCGCGGGGGCCCCGGCGGCAGGGGCCCGT